CTCTGCCAACATTCCAATTCTTTGACACGTAGTCTTCAATCGTAACCCATAGTTCGAAGAATTGAGAGGAATCAAAATTACACATTGCCTTAATAAATTGAGAACCTCTGTCATTGTAAAACGTGTCATCGTAAATCGGACAATTGGAGTCGTTCTTATCATTGCTGGCGACCACGTCGTCATCAATGTGATCGACGATTTCATTGACGTGTCGGTTGGTGATATCCGAAAGAGCCTGAACAGCGCGGGAGGGATTCATTTTTTGAAATAGTAAATGGAGTGGGAGAAATGAGGAGCAGCTGCAAGAAGTGGGTTTTCTATATCAACTGCGCAGTTGTTCCATTTTATAGTGTTTAGTTTGAGTAGACTGAAACTGCGAGGCATATCTCACAAAAAGGCGGGCTTTTCCGTTTTTGAAAGTTGACTCGCAATTGCAGATATGATGCACAACTTATGCTATAATCTGCGTTTCTGCATTATTTGCACACTTAGTTTAATTTTCTACTGATATTCCCCAAACTCAAAGGGCTTTCACGCAACTGCAATACTTGAGGTACTGTACGTAGCTATCCCACTGCTTGGTGGCAACAGTGGCTACGTACTCGGGGAGTCCCCCTAATCTGAACGATATCAAACATTTTAATAATAAAATACGAAGGAAACGTTCCACGACCTCGCCTTTCCAACTCATACATCGCAGAAAGAACTGCGCCAGATCCAGTTCCAGCGTCACGCCGATTTATTCGTCAGCGATATTTACATTGAGTCCCCCTCGCACCAAGTTCACCTTCAATCAGAGGCAAGATACCACTCTGTCTTGAACGCAGAGTCATAACCAGAAGCCACAATTTTTAACTGAAATTTTCCATCTCAACTGACGAGATCAAGCCGCTACATTTATTTTTCATTGATGCAAAGAAGAACAAGACTCGGTCGCCACCTTGAATTCAAGCTTGCGCCTCACCGCTAAGCTCTGACGCACTTTCAGTGTTCTTGGCATCACGTTCGGATCCCCATACCTTTTCACTCGAGACTAAAGCTTCCTTTGCTCAAACTTGACCCGCTCTCGCCGCACTCTCTCCACGGCGAGCGCTTCACGAGCACTTTTATCTGCAGCATAAAGAAGTTTGCGCGCATTCGTACTGCGTTTCCTCTCCTCCTGTTCTTTGAAGAGCTTCATCGCCTCTTGACTGCATAGACTCAGCCCCTTAGATGTGTCCAAATAGCCACACTTTGAAACTTTTGGTCTCAAACCGATGGTGTCTTCCGTGTTAGCTCAAGCATTTCCTCCATTTCTTTCACTGATAAAATGCGGGAAGCGTCTTCGGAACTGTACGGTCGTGGGGTTCTTAACAGTCTGTGAGGATCTACAGGCCACAAACCGGCCTTTTCAAAAGCAGAGATTATATTCGCACGTGTGAACCACGCCTCGTACGCCTCACGCATCGGTTTGAGGAAGTCAAACTTGTCCAGCTCACTTGCAGTTATTGTAGTCGACGTAGCGCAAATTTACTTGTTTAGATGGTGCTTAAATGGTCCAAATAGCCCAACATCCAGCGGTTGAGTAGACCCGCTCGTGTGCGAGGGAAGAGCATATGCGATTACTCCTCCCTTTTCGAGTGTTTCTAATACTTCTATTCCCATGTGAATTCTGTAACCATCGTACAGCAGGAGTACTTTACGCCCATCCTGCGTCAAGTCCGCTACCTCCTTGACAAACCGTGTAGCCCATTGTCTGAATTTTTTTTGTCCATTTCGGACACCTCTGCGCGTGCTGTGATGTATGCACCACGAGGAATACAATCGGCAAGCGACTCACAAACGTCCCGGTTGCTTACATCGATGATACGATACATTAACGAGCAGACTTCGACAACAAACAAGGGATTGGCAGTATCCCCATTGGAAAATATAACTGGCATGATTGTCACTCTCTTAACATTTTTAAATTTGGGAGCTCGTTGTTGCGGAAGTGTGTATCAGGTAATATAGGTTGACATGCGGTTAGTTCCAGTTCCTCGCTCCAGGGAACATCCGGACTCATCCAAATTTGCCAAGCGTTCTGCATCTATATTATGATCTTTCATGAGCGCTTCGATTTGCGCAAATGTGTTGTCAAGACGTCAGCATTTGTCGCAGCCCATCGGACAGGTTCTTGTGGTTTCGCCTTTCCAAGCTTAATTTGAGCAATATGGCGTGCTGTAAAGAGGCGAACAAATTTCTTTTCGGGGCGACAGTTAACAGATGGGAGCTTGGAACGCCGTTCGAACGGCATGGCCCGAACTAAAAGTTCTACTGTGTCAGTAAGATTATCTCGTGTCAGTGGGTGTCCACGGTTTGAGAATCGCTTCAACACACTTACAATCTTTTTTTCTTCTTCTTCGGTGAGCAGCGTGCGTGTTTTGGTTGGAGGACTATGGCGTCGGTCCGGGCGATATTGGAACGTAGAGAGTGGAAGTTTCGCAATTCGAGCAGCCTGTCGTCGAGTGACTCCCTGGTCCGTCGCCACATAGGCGGCGTCCAACATCTGTTTTTCTCGAGTCTCTCGACGCTGGCGTTTTGTCATGGTTGATGGGTCAAGGGAGTAATTGGACTTAGTGGTGGTTCGCCATCAAGGAACAGAAAATATTCCCATCGGCAATCTGTAGAGACACTGGAATTGCTCGTGATGAGCATTTGGGAGCCATGGTGTTCGACTCAGGATTTCAAATTTTGTTTCCCAAGCAAAAGAACCGCTCATTTGCTATTTTTTGGAACTGTTTAGGCCGTGCGGGCCACCATTGCAGACTTATGACGCTTTTTACAGTAACCCTTTGTGCGAAATACTGGCATGGCGGCTTGATTGTTAGATTTTCAGTTGATTTTATGCATTTTGTCCGTTGTTCAATTGTCTATGGCCTTGTGCGATTTAGGGGGCACGCCCCGAGGACGCTCTTCGGGCTCTTTGCAGACGCAAAAGGAAATTCGAATGAGCAGAAACTGTCAATATTTTCATATGTTTTAATTAAATGTGCCCACGTGAGGCCATATGTTTCAGCGGCTACACCGTGGGCTATGAGATCGTCCACGTGTACAGTTGAAACTATTTTGACACGTGTAAGTGCTGAGCAATGCTGAGCGTTTGAGCGAAGTTTTGTGCCGCCCAGCTCCACAGCTCCCTTGTACCAACCAAGGCGGCTTCCCAACCTCATTAACACGCATGGGCTCCCTCGTCTCTAAGCGCGCTGCTACCGCCGCCACCGCCGCCACAGCTGCTGCCGCCGCTGCAAAACGTTCCTCAGCCCCCTCTCCACCCCTCGTCAAACCCGCACCCACGGTCACACCCACTGTCCGCCCCTCCACTGCCCCTCATCAGCGCAAAACGCCCGACGAATGGGCCGCAACCCTCTCGCAAATTACCCACTCCATAACCTCCACCTCTTACCCGAACACCTCGCCAGCCACGGCAGTTAGTCCAGGCGCCAATCATCCCGCTCAGCGGAGCAAACTCACCGTTGCCAAGCTCCCCGGTCGCGGCGGGGAGCCCCACAAGCGGCTGGAGGACGTCGCTGGAAGACTGTCGCAAAACCAAGTTATCGCCCTCTTCAATATGCGCAAGAAGGATCCCCACAACTGGGGGCCTCATCGAATGGCAGAGCGGTTTGGCGTCGACGAAACGCAAGTGACAAATTTGCTTAGGTTCACTAGGACTTATACGGGAAGACTGGATCCGGATGGCAGGGTTAGGGCCTACTATAAGGCTGATTTGGAGGACACTATTAATGCGTTTGAGCGTGATTGAAAAACTCATCGACACGGTTATGTTGCTCCGGTGATCACCCGACACATGCGCCAATCCGTGGCTTGGACGTAGATCGCAGTTGCGGGGGACTTGCAAGTAGTGACGGAAGCTCATGTCGATGCGATTTCGTAACAAGTCGTCATCTCGATTGCCATTCAATCCGTTATTATTGTTCTCACGGGCCTTGCTTGCATGGGTCTTTGTATGCAGCCGGAAATTCCGTCATGCGACCTGCCTGACGTGAATGCGAATATTGATGACCCATGCGAGGCAGGAGGTGAAGTTATCGGGTCAGACTCTGTGTTCTGGGGCAAAGACGGACCACTCCTGGAATTGGCCCAGCCTCTATATTCGATCGGTGCAGCGAGAATTCCGTGGGTACGCGAATCTCTATGTATTCAAGTCAACCGAAATGTTTGTACGGTTTCTAGGGCTGAATAATCTTCAGTACGGTCTTGTCGTAGAACAATTTTCGGCGATGGTGTGACCTGATGGAGATAAGAATTTCACAGATTCGCGCTGGTTCGCTTCTACTTGTTTGCTTGCGTGTTGCATCAATATTGTATCATGTGCTTTGAGAACAAAATCGACCAATGTAGAGCGATGACTGAATGCGGTCAAATGCGGGCAAGACAGAGAAAACAGAGGATGAGCTCTGACAAGCGAAGATGGGCATGAGACTGTACGCCCATGTACATTACCGGAAGTGAACGTCAATTCTGCACGCTGCAATGCAAGACGTGAATTGCCAAGGGATACGATGTTGAACATCGTATCGAGGCCTAGCGTACCACTTATGCAACCATGCAACGTCATACGAGTTGCAGTCTGTAGGCGTGAGGGGCTGGTGCGAGTCTTATTCTCTGTTCCACCCCGGGTGTTGCGCGCACCTGCGATTGCGAGTTTTGTTCTGCCAAAGCATTATGAATCATTCCGTGCACATGCCCTAGAGTCAGCGATCAAACGAAAGAGCCTCGCAACTTAGCGGCCGAGCCTTTTTCCGAATCCAGAAAGCTCATCTGATTTCTCTCTTTAGCAGCTCGTTTGTACTAGAAGGATACATGTGATGACCGCGCACGTTGGTGTGCTGCAATATAAAATGGGCTTTCAAAGCTCAAAGTTTGATCGCACATTGCGAGCATTTCTCCGTTTTAGAATGGTGAAGTGTACAGAATTCCAAGTACTGTAGGGTTTTTTTTTTGGCGCGTACCGCTTCAGTATGAGGCGCTCCAGCGCAGCACCTCTCTTCGCGCCGAGTTTGTCTGTACTTAAGTTCAAGCAAACCCGAACATCTCTCAAATCCTTCGCTCGACCGCACGTATTGCATACCACGCGCGTGCGACGAAGTCCGTTTCCCACCGGATTGCAGGCAAGAAATCAGCCCAAGATGTTGAAGCTCATCACTGCGATCCCAAGCCGTCTCCACCAGCTGGCGTCATCAATCCTCGTGTTCTTGATGTTCAGACCCCCTCTTCGCGGGCTATTACTGCCCTTCCTGGGCCGTCCGGAGGGTATTCGCGGCGCGCTGCTCGCCCGTTTCATCTTCCCCGCGCTTAACCGCTCCACGCAGGACTCCATCGTGGTGGTAGCGGACCCACCCGAGGATGCGCGTGTGCTCGAGCTTGGCTTCGCCAAGGGCGATCTGCTGCAGAGTTTGATCGACCGCGGCGTCAAGCCACCTGTGTATGGGCTGGATATCATGCGTGATATGGTTGCGTTGTGCCGCAGCAAGTTGGGCAAGCATGCAGTGCTCGGGAGCGCGAATATTGAGGAGGAGGGGCTCGTCGCTCCGGGGTTGACGTATGGGCAGCTGTTCGAAGCAGAGGACTGCGAAAGGGCGGGGTTCAGCGCGAGTGAAGTGGTTGCGCCGTTTGATCAGGTGATCATGACGAATGTGTTTTACTTCTTCTCAGACGAAGGGATTTACCATGCCGCGAAGAATTTGTGGGCGTTGCTGCGAGATGGGGGGAAGGTTCTGACGGTTAGCAGTCCGGTTGAGGACTACTCGGAAGGATTTCAGGCGATGGGGTTTGAGGGAGACATGTCCAGTGCGAGGTATATGGATGCGATGCAAGCGGCGGGTTTCAAGACGCACAAGGAGGAAGATGCGAACGGGGAGACTACGACACTTGTTTCTGTGAAATGTCAGGAATGACAAGGCGGAGCAGGGAAATGGGGTGGTTTGGACATGCGGAGACATTGAAGTGGAGGGCTTACATGCATGACGTGGACGGATGGAAGACCTGGTTTGATTGGAGTGGCGTCATTGATGGGCGCAGCAGATGGGTGATGATTAGGAGGGGCGTGTGAGAAGCAGCAGGTCATGTTTTGATACATGCTTGATGAGTAGGAAGAGAGGCAGGGGCGGGGGTGAGGCGGCCGGAGTCTGGGATACTCGTTCAACGGTGCAGGGTGCCATCTAGGTTGGCCTGGTGTGGTGCTAGATCTCCAGATCGGGTTGGACGTTGGAATGGCTATCCCCTTTGGGATTTGTCAGGGTTGTAGTTGTGCACTGCCAGAGTGGGTGAGGATACCGTACCTATGCGATGCGTTGGCTGAGGTATTGGGTGTCTTCGTTTATTCCGGACGGTTCGAGATGTCGAGCAAGGTAATGCGGTACAAGCGGGAGTACAATACCGTAGCGAAGTGTAGGATACTGGACCATTTGGGAATCGACGCTGGCGGCAGTTCATTGCCGAAAACGCGGGATTATTACTCACTTGAGTAATCCCGCGTTATCGGCATACTTGTATTGAATGTCATGAGAGCCATACGTGCACACGTAGCACACGCATGACAGCACGATCAGCTCACCTCACTCGCCACCGCCTACGGATCCCTACAGGTTGTAGTGTCTGAGAGTGAGGGAGGGTCTTAACTTGCCCGAGTTTGCCCGGGTTTGCTTGCCCCGAGCCATGATTTGCACTACTATTGGCTACTGGGCGTTAATATATGATTTGAAACTAAGTACTACCCTACACTGCAAGCTCAAGTTATGTCAGTGTGTAATGACAAATGTCAATCATATATTGGCTACTTTTGTAAGTTTGTAACTTTCGAATTTGGACGCTGTGCTCCGGTGGACGCAGTGCTTGCCCCTTGCCGAAAACATCCTCAACTCCCACTTTGCAAAAATCTATGCACCTGCCATCTCGCAAAGGCAACCCAACTCTACGAAGCACCTCTCTGCCGACTACTTTCCTGAAAATGGCTTCCACACCTCAATGCCACGTGCGCCGTTCTCCGCGCCTCTGGCGCATCTCTCTGACTCCCACCATTCGGAAGACGGGGGCCACCAACGCAAAGTCTCTCACTATTGCTTCCTCGTCTGCAGCGGACGTTTCTGACCAAATATTATCTCCCCCTCCATACGGTATGTACGGCTGAATTCTTTGTCGTTAAAAATCCTGTTGGCTCTGACAAAAGTCCATCCCCGTCCGAGATCTAAGGGCTTTGTGAATTTTCGGGGTCGAGGATAGTTTGAAATAGCTTGGTGCAATGAAAGGAGGGAGAATAGAGCTGCGGTTGCGGTTAGTGCGGTCGTAGCAGTGATGATTCTATTGCCGTGCATTGCGTAGGAGTGATTAGATTGAGAAGAAAGGAGGGGAGGCGAACGGCGATACTGGACAGTGGTTGTAGATCCGTTTTTTGACCAAACAGCGCCGGCGATAGATACGCTATCCCGCGGAGTAGTAAGGAGAGAAGTAATTTAGGGGGTGAGATCAATTATTTATCCCGGTGATCTGGGATCACCCGCAATGGCCACGTTCTGGGTCGGAAGCGAGCGACGCTGCAGCGTCTCGCGTCCATGTCGACGCGTCCCTGGGGCGAAGTTGTTTGACGCTGCAGCATGTCACGTCCCTGTCGATGCGTCCTCGGAGCGAATTTGTAGAACCCACAGTGTCCTCCCCGTTGCGTTCTGGCAATTTATGGCGCTGTATGCCTCTGTAAGTCAGCACCGTCGCTCTGGGACACCTGTCCACTACTAACGTAAGGGGAAGGCGTGTACTTACATTAATAAATTAATAAATGACCGGCAAACTCGGGCAAGCAAAGCAAACCCGGGCAAGTTAAGACCCTCCCTGACAGGGGCTTGTTCTCATATGAGGACAGCTCTTTTTTTTGCAAAAAAATATAAATTAAACTGAACATTCAAAAAGCCACCTTGAGCACTATTTCCTTGACGTGCTTGTTTTCGGCAATAGAATCTTGCAGAACACTGGGATAGCAGCTTTGAATGCGCGTAAAGCTTAGGAATATAATGCAAATTGAGTAACAGGATTGCCTTTTTGAACTGGCGTTTTTGGTTTCCAAGTTATTTTACATGCGGTTTTAGGGTGGTTTAAAAAAAAGCTTCTTTTCTAGACATATCTGAAAACGACCACGAAGAACATGCAATTCTCACAAACTTCTTTCTGGTCCTAAGTCAGAACTCAAGTACGGTGGCGGGTGTGGGTATCATTTTCTTTCTTGTCGGGGAAGCGAAAGTCAAGAATAAAATAGGTCAAATACTGTACTCATGTGAGACGAAAGTCCTCACATGGGTACATGTGTCACTCAGACACTAGAGCCTCCCTTTATAGGGTACGCACAGGTATTACGCATCAGTAAACAGAGGCATCAGTACACAGATGCTGGACGGTGCGGTGTAGGCGGGAAAAGGGGGGAGACACACAACATCCCCAGTGCCCACCCAACAGGTACCACACAACAACACCAACGTGGGTGTACGGTACACGTGCAGCATTGACGCTCAGCGCAAGGGAAGCAATCTCACGCGAGTTGGAATCCCTGTCAACAGAGGCGCCTTCTCGCCCTTCTTGCTTCTACGACGCCGAGGACCACATCTACAGTACAGTGTAGATGTACAGTACAGTGTCGGCGGTTCTCGCGCATCAGAAACAACGCCACCTCTTCTGACTGAGGCGGGGACCTACTGCAGGGCCGCGAATGCGATATTTAGGCATACACTTGAGCGCGATAACGAGGAATGGGACCCCTCGAAACCAGCCACGACTTGCGTACATTAGTAGAGCTCAAGGTGAGTTCCCGAAAACACTGCGCAACTTTTGAGAGGAGGGGGGGCAGGAAGGGTGATGTACCGTAGAGAGGCAGATGGTTATCTGCATGACGGGCAATTCCAGTTTGTCTAACGGTCAGGCTAGAGCCTGACTGTCGCCGTGGTGGTTCCCAATAGAGCCCGCGAAACCGCCGCCGCCTGCTGCAGTACGTGCAACGCGTGGACGCTCTTGACATCGAGAGGCGCGCGGGGCATCTGCGGCGTGCAACGTTGCGTGTGCTCGACTGTATCACATCTGCTTGTATCTGCTTGTACAGTAGTCAACCGCATCCGCAGTGAAGTAACGAAGGGAGCAAAAGAAGATGTGCTGTACAGTACCAGGAGATGAAGAAAGCGAGCCTCATTCAAAGGCTGCATTCGCCTCCTCATTGCACGCTGGCAACTTGCATCGTGGTCGAGTTATCTCGGGCCATCTTTTTAGGATTCTGGTTGAGATAGCACGGAGATTGCGCTACGGCCCGATTGAAAGGCCAGCAGGCCGCCCTTTCCTCTCCACTGGCGGCGAGTCCAGTGCTGCATACAGCTCTCCACTGGAGGCGAGTCCAGTTCTGCATATAGCTCCTCATGACCTCTCAGCGGCCATACGCCTCTCCCCAAGGCTCGAACGACGCAAGATCAGCAGTCTACGGCTACACGCTTGCCATCACATACAATGTATCCTTCTGAGGCTATGCCTCACCGTAGTGTCGGCACTGTACAATACCACAGTTTACGTGCAGCGACTCCGCTGCATGTGCGCTTGTCTAAAACCTGTCCATCTGCCCTCACCATCCCCTCTTAGACAGTCTCCAGCGTAAAAGGGGTTTGCGCAAAGGAGTTTTACAATGACGGCAGGACACGCGACTGTATTGCCTAACTGTATTGCCTAACTCTCGCAGCGCGTCTCACGCATCTCGCGCACATCCTGAGCGGCATGCAGTCCCTTAGCAAGTGTTCATTACGGTGCATTTCCGTACGGTAATCCGTCGCAGCTCCCTCTCCATCATCCCTTCATCCAGTCCGCATGCCACATGCCCCCCGCGCTCCAACCAAAAGGGGAACACCACCCTCTCCGCTCGCGCGCGGCTCGCGACAACGTCGCTCCCCTACTTCCCGCACGGAACAAGGATTGGATAATATCCGCGTGGGATGCGCCAATCAAGGGCGGCACGATTCTTTGCATTCGTAGAGAAGGATGCATCTGCCCGGCACGACAGTACTGTGGGCGACTCCTCACGAGATATGAAGTGCTTCTTTGATGATGCCCGTTTCACACCTTTTACGCTGGGTTCCCGTTTCTATGGTACCAGCACACACGCCCCCCCGATGCCCGTCAACACTTGTCCCGGTGCCCACTGAATATACCGCCACCCCGCAATGTAGATGGATGCCAGTAGCAGGGAAAGATACCCTCTCCCCTATGTTGCAGAGCTTACCAGTTTTGAGAGGTCCTGCGGATGACGACCTGTCGCACCCTTTTCCCTTTCTGCTTGATACAGTCACACCCCTCAAAATAGAACCGCTCCCCTCCTCTCCCCCATCCGCACCCGTCTCCCTCCTCTCTTCCCTGTCCTGCTCCCACTTAACAACCTCACAATGGCAGTCTACGCTACCCCAGCCGAGCTCGAACACCTCCGCACAGCTCCTGCTACTCCGTTGACTCGTCGCCCCCGCTTCAGGCGCTTCCACGGCCACTCCTCCCCTCCTCCTCCCTCCCCCGATACCGCTAGCGCCTTCGACTGCCCCGCGGAGGACATCCCAAGCGAAAGGTGGCGCGAGGATATCTACTCTGAGTTTGACGCCCGCCCTCGCAGAAGAAAATCCGACAAGCTCAGAAAGCTGTGGCGCAAAATGTCAGAGGACACAGAAGGGGTGAAAGAGTTTTTGTCATTCGCAGGGCAAGGGCTAGCACAGATAGGACTTGTTTGGGGGGGTGCTTTCTTCCTTATGAATCTGCCAACAAAGCCCAAGAGGGGTGCATGGTGAGGGAGACTACGTCGCATTCTTCCGCATAACTCTCGGCGTTCAGATGGGGACACATCGCCCGGGAGCGAGGGTTATGCGAAATGGAGCTGCACTTTTTCAAGTTACTGGCTGACTGTCGTTGAAAGGCAAGTTTGAACATCGCCGTACTCTGAATGGAGACAGCTGACTTCTTTCACGAATGACGAGGTCGCGCACCGAACATGGCTTATCAATAGTTTTGAGTGTTGTTTCTCAATTGGAAGCAATTCTCAGCAGTTGCCGCAGACAGGGCCATGCATTACGGTCAAGGATACTGCTCACGGTTTGTTGTCTCCGTCACAAATCAGATGTTTCTTCAGAGCCTCGGAAGCTCCGTTGGACTACTTTTTAGCGCTCATCGCTTGGCAACTAAAACTCGCTTTTTCCGAGGGCGAGATAGCCAGGAGGATGACGTGGGTGAAAGCTTGGTCCTCCGCTCCATTTATATTTCTTTGGCACTGTGCTGTACGCCCTACGCCCTGTCATGTCGCTTCTTGGATGCAAAACATAAGCAGGCACTCCACGTACTGTACAGGGCGATACCCAAGCATCCGCTCCTTGCGCGGAAGAAGTATTTCCGTCCTTGAACCGCATAGGAGTGAGCTTGCTGCTGGATGAGAGTCGAGACAAGCACGAAACAAGAGTCACGCCTGAGGGTATCGTGTCGGTTGGGACGTGGCATGTGTTAAATGCCCGTGAAATTTTTTTTGTTTCGCCTCTCGCGCTTATTGTAGAATCATTGATAAAAGTAAAGAAACTGCTCTCCAGAGAGGCTGTTTTCCCCAAGCTTGCCTTTGTGGCTGAGAGTTCCTACGTGCAGTGAATGCTTGCGAGGACGGTTCTGCTTGGAGGGGTCGAGTGCATTGCTGCCGAAATAAAAGGCACAGTCAGAGATGCAGGGCAATCCGACAAACACAGTTTCATGGGTGCCATACGTCACGATGGAGTCCCAGGGCATTCATAGTCGGGTCAATGATCAAGAGGAAAGGATGGCTACACAGAAGGCAAGTTGTACGGCGGCAACTGGTTCTGCAGCCGGAAGGAGAACGCATGCAAAAATCAGTTGCTGCGTATTGCAAATAAACTAATGATAGTTCGTCACTTAATGCGATCTTCCATGACAGCGTACAGCATGCTTTGCTGTTTACTCCACAGTAGTGTTTCTTGAACGAGGCGAGAAGCGATTCGGCTCAGAAAATGCCAGCGTTTTTGCTCCATTAATTAATTGCATTAAATCGATTATTTAGATACGAAGCTGTGTGTACTGGCCCTTCTTCATTATTTGAGCATGCGCAATTTCTTTCCGGGTTGTGTTTTGACAAAGACTCCCACCTACTTCTCTAGAGTAGAAAAACACTCAAATTAATTCCCATGTTGATTGATTAAACGACCGACGCATCACGAATGCTAGTGTCTAGGTGACAAATGGCCTCATATGAGGCCAGTTTTTAGGCGGGCTTTTGCAATTCGAATAATTGTAGAAATTTATCGCTACTGTAGTGAAAAGCTTACGACTAGAGTACTAAACGTTGGCAAACCAGAAAACATTCAATTCCGTATCGCAGTGTCACTTCAGTCAGGGCTAAATGGGAATTATCAGATGGCGTCAGGAAGTCAGGATTCGCATAGCTAACATCAAGGCTGGTGAAGTGATGGACCTGATCGATGACGACCCTGAAGATCATATCCATCAAGAAACTGAACATTATGCTCGATCGGAGCCTACACAGGACCGCGTGACGCCAATGGAAGGAGCACTCAGCCCGAGTACGAGGATCTCCGAGAGTGACGAAATGGATTCCCAAGATGGACTCATGAATGTCCACGACCGGGCCTGGAATCGTGAGGAAGTCACGATGCATTTAAATGGTATGATACCGCCGAAAATATGGAAGGTGATTGGACCGATTGATGAGATTATATCCCGTCGTCACAGTCCATCTCAAATGCATCCCATAGACTACTTCATGTGGATGTTCCCACAGGAGCACTTGGCGTTAATGGTTTCTTACACCAACGATGGAATGGAATGAAGGAGACTTTGCTTGACTACAAGAGGTGAAATTTTGAAGTTTTTCGGGGTGCTAATTCTTATAACTCGGATTGAATTCAGCACCAGAAGGTCTCTTTGGAGCTCACAGGAAACCAGCAAATATCTCCCGCAATCTCAATTCGGAAACATCATGTCCCGCAGAAGATTCGAGGAGCTTCGTCAGAATGTCACGTTCAGCTTTCCAGCTGTCTCAAATAACAGATGGGGTATGATCAGGGACTTCATGGTCGCAATCAATGATCAAAGAGCATCACATGTGATTCCATCACAGAACATCTGCGTTGATGAGAGTATGTCACGCTGGTATGGACTTGGAGGAGATTGGATTGAAACCAGTCTTCCTCATTATGTTGCCATGGATCGAAAACCCGAGAATGGCAGTGAGTTGAAGACTGCTGCATGTGGAAAAAGTGGAATCATAATAAGAATTGAGAACGTCGTCTCAGCTGAGGAGACTTCTTAAAAGAATTTTGAAAGTGACCACTTACACGGAACCGCAGTGACTTTGAGGTTGTTACAGCCATGGTTTCACACCAATCGTGTTGTCTGCGCGAGTTCGTACTTTGCTTCTGTCCACACGGCTGAATCACTTTATGAGAAAGGTCTTAGATTCACAGGTGTGGTGAAGACGTCTACCAAGAAATATCCGATGAAATATCTATCTCATCTGGAGATTGCTGAAAAGGGAGACCACGTCACACTAGTTTTGAAGCCGGTGGCCGGGCCTCACCTTATGGCAGTGATGTGGATGGACCGAAACCGTAGATCTTTTATTAGTTCTGTCGGAACATCCAACGAAAGAACTCCAATCTACCGCGATAGATGGCGTACAAGTCATGGCGTGACAAGAAAAGAGGAATTGTCTATCCGTATTCCCTCAGTCTGCGAGCAGTATTATGAAACTTGCTCTCAGATTGACCGCCACAACAGATCTCGTCAGGATGATCTCGGCTTGGAAAAGAAGTTGGAAGTCAAGGAGTGGTATATGCGTGTCAACACTTTTTTATTGGCCATTTGCATTGTGGATGCATGGAAACTGTATGCAGGTGCAAAAGGAGATGGTTCTAAGATGTCTCCAAATCAGTTTTATTGTGAGCTTGCTGACCAGTTGATTGATAACAAATATGATCGTATATCGTTACGTCAGCGAGAATCAGACAGTGCTGTTGAAGATGAAGATGTTGGGTTTGGCAGTGGAATTGGTACTCACCTAACTCCAACCACTCGCAAGCGGAAACGCGCATCCGGCGAGGAGACTTGCGCTCTTTATCAATCCAGATGCAATATCTGCAAAGGTACAAAAAAGTCAAAGTTTATTTGCTCAGCCTACAAGGTATATTTTGACAAAGAAGTATACCTATGTCATCACCAGACTGCGCGTGACTGTTTTAAGAAACATGTCGACGAACGACACGACCTTACTTACAAAGGTAAGCACTATTAGTGCTTAAGGCGTTCTCGGCCATTAAAACTAACTAAATTCGTCAGCATTTGAGTAATAGAGCAAAAAGAGATAAAAACTCCTTTTGCCCCCTATGGTTCTATCCTGCGTCTAAAGACTTGCTTGGAAGACCTGTAGCCGTGTCCGAATGCCCCTTTATGAGATATCACCGTATTCAATCTCATGTTCGAGTGGGCGCTATAAAGCGTCCTGGGCTGCAGGTCACGAACAAGAACCATCGAGATCCCCGAAGGGATTTTTCGACCACTAGAGTGCTCAGCGAGGAGTTGAACCCCGGCCTCTAAGACTCAGAGCCCGTCCCAACACAGCATATCACATCAGTGGCAATCGCGCAGAGCCTCCTGATTGGTTGCTGCTGATACAAATATTAACATGGCAGTCTTAGTAAGAGGTAGTAAGCTCCCTTTCTCCTGGAGTGTAAGCCTCACAGAAAGGCAATTTCATTGGACAACAAATAGATTGAGACAACTCAAAAGCAAGCGACCACAGTAAAAACGGTCTTAAACGCGCTGAACAGAGTCAGTAAAATGCCCAGCGGAAAGTGGGGATGATCTCCCCAACATCACACTATCATCCGTGCAACAAACCGTCTCCCGTCTTGCACCACCTTTTGTCGACTCCACCTCCATAATATCTCCAGCACTCCTGGATGCCATATCCCCCTTCACACCCTTTTTCAACCGAATATCGCCGGCGCATATCCCACCTCATGAATAGAGACGAAATCACGTCTTCTCCGGGAAAGACGAGGTCCTCGGGATCTGAAGAGTTGGCCCTAATCGTCCCACCTCTTGACTTGGAATTTGCCTCCCTTTCAGGAGACGAAGATCATATAAACCCGATATCGATTCAGCCAGCACCGCAAATCTATCCTTCACAAACCCCAATCAAAGAAGTGAATTGGACGTTCTTATCTGTAACTTCAATTTATACCGATGAGGAGTTTTCCGGCGCATTTCGATTATCTCTTCCCATCTTCGCGAAATTGTTGCGACTTATTCAGCGTAAAATTCAGAAAAACATTGAGATAGGTCAAAGGTCAAAGAGAACAACTGTCATGCCAGATATGCGCCTCGGAATCACCCTACGCCTACTAGCTGGAGCAGATATGTGGGACCTCATATCAAGCTACCACGTGAGGAAATCTACTATCCACAGAATTTTTGAGGACACTGTAAGTGTGCTAAATGTGGTCCTCCAGCTTCCTGGACTGCCGAAAACAATAGGAGATCTCTATACATCATCGATCGCTTTCAAAACCTCAAGAAAAACACTTAGTCCGTTGGACGGGTGTGTCGGGGCTCTAGATGGTCTGGCAGTTAAAATCACTAAACCAAGGGAGGAAGAAAACCCCGCGTCGTACTACAACAGAAAAGGGTTTTACGCCCTTTGTGTGCAAGCTATGGTAGACTCCAATTATCGTTTTCTGACATACTCCTGTCGCTGCGTGGGTTCGACTCATGACTCGCTCAGTCATGAGACCTCAAGTTTAGGAAGATATCTCCAGGAGGGTCGTTTGTGCGAAGAATTTTGGATTGCCGCTGACGACGCATATTTGTGCACTGAAACTGTCATAACACCTGTACCAAGCTCGCAGGTTACAGAGACAGAAGATGCGTTCCAGTTCTACCACTCGTCACTACGAATGCACGTAGAGCAGGCGTTTGGGGTTTTAGTAGCCAAATGGGGCATTTTGCAAAGGCCCTTGCGTTTCGCAGTACGGAAGTCATCACGAATTGTGTGTACTGCCATGAAAATACACAATTTCGTTGTCGATGAAGGCGGTTCGAGGCGAGAAGGTATGACAGCAGTGGAGTTTAGACAGGTTTACACAGAAAGCTTGAGGTGGCACAGACAAATGACGCGTTCAGCAAACACAGGAAGGGAAACAGGACGAAGAATGGAGGGTTCGAGAAAACGTGACAGTCTCATAGATCTGGTAAAGGCAAAACGATTGGAACGACCTCCTGTACGCCAACGCCACAAATAAATATTCTTCCCCCTGTACAAGTAGTGCTGCAATTGGATTATTCGAAATGGTTGACGTGGGAAGCTATAGAAGGTCATGGCCTTCTAGACGAGCTCTGGCGCTGGCGATACTGAGGAAGGGACACGAACAGAAATGGAACGAGGTACGCAAGGAGAAAAGTTGAAATATGGGAATGGA